CTATCTATCTATCTATCTATCTATCTATCTATCTATCTATCTATCTATCTATCTATCTATCTTTCTATCTAATATATTTTTTAGCAAATTGAGTCAGCAACTTGCCCCCACAGTCCGGGTCCTCATTTCACCCACCTCGGAAGGATGGAAGGCTGAGTCAACCTTGAGCCGGTGAGATTTGAACCGCTGAACTGCAGATCACAGTCAGTTAAAGTGGCCTGCAGTACTGCACCCTAACCACTGCGCCACCTCGGCTCCTGTTGGAGGGTAAACAGCTGTTACCCAGTTGCAAAGCATCTGCTTTAGATGTAGAAGGTGCCGGAGTATGTCATAGCTTCTCCAGAATTGGACAAGGCTTATTCAAATCCTGGATAGCTGTTGCTTAGCTATTGCAGATAATACAGGTAATCCCCAACTTACAACAGTTTATTTAGTGACTGTTTGAAGTTACAACGGCACTGTAAAAATTTATTCATGACCATTTTTCACACTTATATGACCAGTGCAGCATCTCCATGGACACATAATCAAAATTCAGACATTTTGAACTGAAATCCACAAGTCTTAAAGAGGCCATAGTTCCCACCTTTGTCTTGATTAATAGATTTGTTTTCATGTAGCACTTTATCTTTTTCCAAAGCTGCAACAGGGTAAGAAGTCATGTGAAATTAGAATTAATTAGTCTGTGTGGATATGAACTTATTAGCTCTGATTTCTTACCCTATTGCAGTATACATATTCATTCCGCACCCTACTTTGTGAGAACAACCTCAGCAGAAACATCCCGAGTGTGTATCCCAACTACATGTGAGTTTACCAATAAATCTGGAATACAAAATGCAAATCATTTGCTGGGCTTCTCAAGCAACCTTGTCATGTTAATCTGAGTACTTGCAGTGCAGCTGACTGGCACTATAGTCAATGTGAGGGAAGAACTGGTACTTTAAATGCTTTTACAAGTCAATAAAATGTAGTGTCAGCTCCGCTATTTCCTTTCCTGATCACTACCTGACAACTTTGTGTTGTCCTGCCGTCCAGTCTCCCCTTTCACTGCAAATAACAACCTCACATATCCTCTTCAGAAAGGAAGTAATTCACCCCATAATTGCCCTGGCCCCAAGCAAGCCATGAGCATACTCAAAAGGAAATTTATCCTATGTTACACTCAAGCTTAGCCAGAGTTCTTGCTGGGAATCCTAACTATAGATAGAATCAATCACTTTTGAATTGAAAGTTATTTATATTATGGGAAAAGCGTTGGGAGGAGGGAGGGGGACACATTTTTCCTGACCCAAAACAAGTAAGAAAGAATATAGGAACATTTTGTTTCAAGTCTGGTGTTAGTAAGCTATTCAGAAAGAAAGTGGGATCAATGAAACATTTTGGAAGCAAACCTTAATAGAAGGTGGATGGTATTTGACTTCATGAACAGAGTTAGCAATAGCAGTTAGACTTATATACCGCTTCATAGGGCTTTCAGCCCTTTCTCTAAGCGGTTTACAGAGTCAGCATATTGCCCCCAACAACAATCCGGGTCCTCATTTTACCCGCCTCGGAAGGATGGAAGGCTGAGTCAACCTTGAGCCGGTGAGATTTGAACAGTTGTTATGCTTACAGCACATAAACTTTTCACATTGATTCGTAAAGGTTAGGGCAGTGTTTCTCAACTAGTAAATTTAAGATGTATGGACTNTGACATCCCATTCCTAATCCATAGGGTTCAATATGACGTCAGTCCACCCTTTGCAGCTGTAACAGCTTCAACAGGATTCCTCTCCCCACCTCACCCCTCTGCCTCCCGCTTGGACGGATGGCATGGTGGCAGCCGCGCTCGGACACCATCTGCATTGTGAGGACTGCATAACCCCAGTGTGTGCTGGCCAAGGGGCCATTAGGCTGCAGCTGCTGGCACACACTGTCGGCCTCTGCGCACCTGGCACCTGTTGTGCTAGTTACCCCCACCCCCGAGGGTTGATGATGATCTTAACTAGAACTTATTTTCTGTTTGGATCTTATTTTGTGGGAAACATGGTATATATTAAAGAAAGCCCATTAATTCTTACAAAATATTTTAATAGATATACAAAGAGGAATATACTTCTACAGCAGCCACATTTCAAATATAATCTCATATTGGTTTTTTTTTTAAAAGTTACGCTCATTCCCATTTTACTTTAAATGGACAGTTTGATTTTAAACTAGGTTGTTTCTTCTAAAACATTTTAACGTCATCCTCTCTGCTGCATATTTTCATCAGGACGTGACAAAGGGTTTCACATTCGGTTCCAAAATCTTATTGGGAAAAAGCAATACCCCTTCTACACCCCTTCTTTTCTTCTTGCTGTTAATGTGATCAGTCTTGGCAGAACCATTTGTGCGAAATTCCAACTCATAAATTCTCCATTAAAAAACTATGTTCAAGCATTTTGCTTTCAAAATCTATTTGTGAAACTTCTTCTTCTTCCGATTTTTCTTTCCTGCGGAGAGGGCCTCCTTCTCAGCAATTATGTCTTGGTACTTCCTTTTATTGTACCTGAATAAGAGAAACAATTTTTTTATGAAGAATAAATGCAACCAAACACGGAATCCAATCCCATTTTCACAGTTGTGACCATTGCAACATCCCCATAGCCAGGTGTTTTACATTTGAATGCCTGGCCACTGGTTTACATTTATGACTGCTTCTGTGTGCCAAGGTCATGCGATCTCCTTTTGCACCCTTCTGACAAGCAAAATCGATGGGGAAGGAAGCCAGATTCATTTCACTGTGTTACTAATGTAACAATTGCAGTGATTTACTTAACAAATGTGGCAAAAAAGTCCTAAAATGGGACTAGCAATAGCAATAGCAGTTAGACTTATATACCGCTTCATAGGGCTTTCAGCCCTCTCTCTAAGCAGTTTACAGAGTCAGCATATTGCCCCCAACAACAATCCGGGTCCTCATTTTACCCACCTCGGAAGGATGAAAGGTTGAGTTAACCCTGAGCCGGTGAGATTTGAACCGCTGAACTGCTGCTAACAGTCAGCTGAAGTGGCCTGCAGTACTGCAC